GTATGCGTATGCGTATGTGTATGTGCGTATGTGTGTGTGTATATATATATATGTATGTATGTATGTATGTATGTATGTATGTATGTATGCATGCATGCAACAGACCCAGGAATCACTTAAGTGGATGAATGAACAACTTGAGGCAGGTGGAGTCAAACAACATCACGTTGATCAATGGGCCAGTGCCGCACCACTTGCCAGGCAGCACCCCGGAGTATGGAAAGGCCTTGTTAGGAAAGCACGCCGTACTGCCCTTCTCCGTGAAAGGTGGGAAGCTGAAAAGAGACAGGGCCATGGATTGTTGCTGCGGCAGCTCCTCCGCCATGGAGCAAATGCGCCAGGCCGCCAGGCTCTCTTGATGCTCAGGAACCTTCTACTGAAGTTTTTTCCGACCTCCATAAGTGGGCCCACCATGCCTTCAAAGTCCATGGGAGGGTGCGTGAGGAACGCACGCTCACCGACGGAACCCAATTTCCCACATGCCTTCGACAGCACGCATGCAAACGAGAAGCCTTGCAATCACCTCAAATACAGCAAGACTTGTCGCCAGCTTTTACTTGACCAGCAGTATACGGTAAACCCTGCCCCTGGAGTTGGCAGCAGGCGTTTTCAGGAGGGGTCTTCCACGCAACTTCCAGTAGTCAGAGCTGAGGGCCCTTCAAAACTTCCCCCTCCCCACAGACCACTGTGTTGAGGAGGCACATCGGCCTGATGATGGAATTCTCTTGCGTTTAACCGAGTGTTTTGCCTTTGCCGAGGGCAATTTCCAGGACACTGATGATCTGATTGGTTTTTATAGAACCGTCTTCTCGTCGGTCTGTCTCCAAAGATCCAGACTTAACGCCACGCTAAGGGCTTGGGAAGAGCTCTTTGCTGAGGAAGTTGAGAATGACTCCGACTTCTCCATCCGGTGGATAACTTGGCATTCCAGGGTCATCAAGTCCCTACAATAGTCGACTGGCCTGCCTGGCTTGCGGCTGACGAAGCACCCAGGACCAGAGTATTTGCGGTTTACCGAGATGCCGAAGTCCTTCTACCCCGGCTAGAGGGTTCCCTGTTTGATTGCCTCGAGGTTTGTGCTGCCGCTGGACAATGTTTCTCACATGTCCGCCGCGAATCCTTTCACACCATTCCGCACTCTGACTGCGTTGTTGAGCCTGCTCTCCTTGACCCTGTCTCCTGGAATCTCGATGAGATGCGTGGCTCCATCACTGTCTTCAATTGTGCAGCTCTGTCCCCTCCGGGTCCCTGTCCTGCCCCGATCAATACTTCTGCCAAGCTCGAACCTGGACTTGGTTGCTTGCGGCTGTACTTTGATCTTATCAGGGGGCTTGTCTTTCTCTGGTCCAAACGGTGTCCTGCGTTGCTTTGCACATCCAACACCTGCAGCCCCTGTGCACAGGCTTTGAGGCAGGTTGCTCCCTTGTGCTGGCACTCTCATGGACTTTTATGAATTGGGAACCGCAACGGGGATCTCTGTTTCTCTTGTTTCACCTCTTAATTGTTGCATGCTCCTAGGCTGCGCCAGAACTTGACTCTTTGCCTCGAAATGGAAATGGAAATATATGTAGGTAGCTAGGTAGGTAGGCAGGCAGGCAGGCAGGCAGGCATGTATGTATGTATGTATGTATGTATGTATGTATGTATGTATGTATGTATGTGTGTATTTGTGTTGTAGGTGTGCATGCATGCATGCATGCATGCATGCATGCATGCATGCATGCATGCATGCATGCATGCATGCATGGATGGATGGAGGGATGGA